TTGGAGGAGTGACGACTTGCTCGCCTTCGTAATGCTTCAAAGAGCTCAGTGTATGCAGGACTCGCTGAATTATCTGCTCAGTTGTCGGAAGAAAACACGACATGGGACGAGTTGGTGGTTGTCATTCTCTATCCCTCTCTCTCGCTCTCCCTCAATCTCTTCCGGAATACAAATTCTACACACACACACAGACACACACAGACACAAACAAACAAACAAATATATATACATGCATGGAAATATGTTGGCCATGAACAACTGACTCACTTGTTGTTGAGCTGTGCATTGTAGTGTTCGCCGCTTCTGTCGCCATCACTGTCGTTGTGCTTTCAGGCTCAGCTGAAATATATACGCGACACAAAACATTGTCAATATCTTCATTCCATATATCTATCTAGCTGTCTAACTAGCTGTCTATCTAGCTCTCTATCTAGATGTCTCTCTAGCTATCTGTCTGTCTAGTTTGCAGTCACGTCGATTCGGATCGCTGATACAACATTGTCAGTAATCTTGTCAGTTAATCAACAATACGAATCGAATACTCACTGAGTCTGTACACTTTGATATTGTCGTCAAGTCATTCATCTGAAAGATGACGATTCTGATGATGGTGATGATGGTGATGAAGAGGAGGAGAAGGATGTCGAGATGACGCTGAAGATGCTTTTGTGTGTGTGTGTGTGTTTCTGTGTGTGTGTGTGTGTGATGGATTGATGTGTGATTCAGTGTATGGTTGAGTGGTTGAGAAGATGATTGGAGGAGTGACGACTTGCTCGCCTTCGTAATGCTTCAAAGAGCTCAGTGTATGCAGGACTCGCTGAATTATCTGCTCAGTTGTCGGAAGAAAACACGACATGGGACGAGTTGGTGGTTGTCATTCTCTATCCCTCTCTCTCGCTCTCCCTCAATCTCTTCCGGAATACAAATTCTACACACACACACAGACACACACAGACACAAACAAACAAACAAACAAATATATATACATGCATGGAAATATGTTGGCCATGAACAACTGACTCACTTGTTGTTGAGCTGTGCATTGTAGTGTTCGCCGCTTCTGTCGCCATCACTGTCGTTGTGCTTTCAGGCTCAGCTGAAATATATACGCGACACAAAACATTGTCAATATCTTCATTCCATATATCTATCTAGCTGTCTAACTAGCTGTCTATCTAGCTCTCTATCTAGATGTCTCTCTAGCTATCTGTCTGTCTAGTTTGCAGTCACGTCGATTCGGATCGCTGATACAACATTGTCAGTAATCTTGTCAGTTAATCAACAATACGAATCGAATACTCACTGAGTCTGTACACTTTGATATTGTCGTCAAGTCATTCATCTGAAAGATGACGATTCTGATGATGGTGATGATGGTGATGAAGAGGAGGAGAAGGATGTCGAGATGACGCTGAAGATGCTTTTGTGTGTGTGTGTTTCTGTGTGTGTGTGTGTGTGTGTGTGATGGATTGATGTGTGATTCAGTGTATGGTTGAGTGGTTGAGAAGATGATTGGAGGAGTGACGACTTGCTCGCCTTCGTAATGCTTCAAAGAGCTCAGTGTATGCAGGACTCGCTGAATTATCTGCTCAGTTGTCGGAAGAAAACACGACATGGGACGAGTTGGTGGTTGTCATTCTCTATCCCTCTCTCTCGCTCTCCCTCAATCTCTTCCGGAATACAAATTCTACACACACACACAGACACACACAGACACAAACAAACAAACAAATATATATACATGCATGGAAATATGTTGGCCATGAACAACTGACTCACTTGTTGTTGAGCTGTGCATTGTAGTGTTCGCCGCTTCTGTCGCCATCACTGTCGTTGTGCTTTCAGGCTCAGCTGAAATATATACGCGACACAAAACATTGTCAATATCTTCATTCCATATATCTATCTAGCTGTCTAACTAGCTGTCTATCTAGCTCTCTATCTAGATGTCTCTCCAGCTATCTGTCTGTCTAGTTTGCAGTCACGTCGATTCGGATCGCTGATACAACATTGTCAGTAATCTTGTCAGTTAATCAACAATACGAATCGAATACTCACTGAGTCTGTACACTTTGATATTGTCGTCAAGTCATTCATCTGAAAGATGACGATTATGATGATGGTGATGAAGAGGAGGAGAAGGATGTCGAGATGACGCTGAAGATGCTTTTGTGTGTGTGTGTGTGTGTGTGATGGATTGATGTGTGATTCAGTGTATGGTTGAGTGGTTGAGAAGATGATTGGAGGAGTGACGACTTGCTCGCTTTCGTAATGCTTCAAAGAGCTCAGTGTATGCACGACTCGCTGAATGATCAGCTCAGTGGTCAGCTGAAAGCACGACATGTCGACACGACATCGGACGAGTTGGTGGTTGTCATTCTCTATCCCTCTCTCTCGCTCTCCCTCAATCTCTTCCGGAATACAAATTCTACACACACACACACAAACTAACAAACTAATATATATACATGCATGGAAATATGTTGGCCATGAACAACTGACTCACTTGTTGTTGAGCTGTGCATTGTAGTGTTCGCCGCTTCTGTCGCCATCACTGTCGTTGTGCTTTCAGGCTCAGCTGAAATATATACGCGACACAAAACATTGTCAATATCTTCATTCCATATATCTATCTAGCTAGCTGTCTAACTAGCTGTCTATCTAGCTCTCTATCTAGATGTCTCTCCAGCTATCTGTCTGTCTAGTTTGCAGTCACGTCGATTCGGATCGCTGATACAACATTGTCAGTAATCTTGTCAGTTAATCAACAATACGAATCGAATACTCACTGAGTCTGTACACTTTGATATTGTCGTCAAGTCATTCATCTGAAAGATGACGATTATGATGATGGTGATGAAGAGGAGGAGGAGAAGGATGCTCGAGATGACGCTGAAGATGCTTTTGTGTGTGTGTGTGTGTTTGTGTGTGTGTGTGTGTGTGTGATGGATTGATGTGTGATTCAGTGTATGGTTGAGTGGTTGAGAAGATGATTGGAGGAGTGACGACTTGCTCGCCTTCGTAATGCTTCAAAGAGCTCAGTGTATGCAGGACTCGCTGAATTATCTGCTCAGTTGTCGGAAGAAAACACGACATGGGACGAGTTGGTGGTTGTCATTCTCTATCCCTCTCTCTCGCTCTCCCTCAATCTCTTCCGGAATACAAATTCTACACACACACACAGACACACACAGACACAAACAAACAAACAAACAAATATATATACATGCATGGAAATATGTTGGCCATGAACAACTGACTCACTTGTTGTTGAGCTGTGCATTGTAGTGTTCGCCGCTTCTGTCGCCATCACTGTCGTTGTGCTTTCAGGCTCAGCTGAAATATATACGCGACACAAAACATTGTCAATATCTTCATTCCATATATCTATCTAGCTGTCTAACTAGCTGTCTATCTAGCTCTCTATCTAGATGTCTCTCTAGCTATCTGTCTGTCTAGTTTGCAGTCACGTCGATTCGGATCGCTGATACAACATTGTCAGTAATCTTGTCAGTTAATCAACAATACGAATCGAATACTCACTGAGTCTGTACACTTTGATATTGTCGTCAAGTCATTCATCTGAAAGATGACGATTCTGATGATGGTGATGATGGTGATGAAGAGGAGGAGAAGGATGTCGAGATGACGCTGAAGATGCTTTTGTGTGTGTGTGTGTGTTTCTGTGTGTGTGTGTGTGTGTGATGGATTGATGTGTGATTCAGTGTATGGTTGAGTGGTTGAGAAGATGATTGGAGGAGTGACGACTTGCTCGCCTTCGTAATGCTTCAAAGAGCTCAGTGTATGCAGGACTCGCTGAATTATCTGCTCAGTTGTCGGAAGAAAACACGACATGGGACGAGTTGGTGGTTGTCATTCTCTATCCCTCTCTCTCGCTCTCCCTCAATCTCTTCCGGAATACAAATTCTACACACACACACACACACACACACACAGACACAAACAAACAAACAAACAAATATATATACATGCATGGAAATATGTTGGCCATGAACAACTGACTCACTTGTTGTTGAGCTGTGCATTGTAGTGTTCGCCGCTTCTGTCGCCATCACTGTCGTTGTGCTTTCAGGCTCAGCTGAAATATATACGCGACACAAAACATTGTCAATATCTTCATTCCATATATCTATCTAGCTGTCTAACTAGCTGTCTATCTAGCTCTCTATCTAGATGTCTCTCTAGCTATCTGTCTGTCTAGTTTGCAGTCACGTCGATTCGGATCGCTGATACAACATTGTCAGTAATCTTGTCAGTTAATCAACAATACGAATCGAATACTCACTGAGTCTGTACACTTTGATATTGTCGTCAAGTCATTCATCTGAAAGATGACGATTCTGATGATGGTGATGATGGTGATGAAGAGGAGGAGAAGGATGTCGAGATGACGCTGAAGATGCTTTTGTGTGTGTGTGTGTTTCTGTGTGTGTGTGTGTGTGTGTGTGTGATGGATTGATGTGTGATTCAGTGTATGGTTGAGTGGTTGAGAAGATGATTGGAGGAGTGACGACTTGCTCGCCTTCGTAATGCTTCAAAGAGCTCAGTGTATGCAGGACTCTCTGAATAATCATCTCAGTGTTCAGCTGGAAGCACAACATGTCGGCTCGACAAGGAATATTTGGTGGTTTTCATTCTCTCTCCGTCTCTCTCTCAATCTGTCGATCATTTTCGTCGACTTCTTTATTTTCGCTAGGTTTTCAGTATCTGTTTCCGAATGTTTGTGTCCTTTTTAATAGCTTCAAATGAAATAGCAGCAAGTTTTGTCTACTCACCTTATATCTGAATGTCATCTGTATGTTTTCCGCCAGTCAGTATACCTATATTAGATCAAATCCCTCCCAACATGCTCTCAAATAATTCTCAGACAACTCACTCCACATCTTCGTTTTCAGTCGTCGTGAAACACACATGACAGAGGACGAAGTCAGACAAGAGGAGAGAAATTCGCACACGAATAAACACAATTAATGAGATCATCAAACGAAAAAAAGTGAAGTTAGAAAGTGGAATCGAAGTATAAATATATTACCTTCTATCGTAATGTTGGTGGCTGCACCAAAGTACACCTGATCAGTACCATTGGTAACTAGTTCTTCTGTGTATTGGACAATTGCAGTGAGAACAGTTTGTTCCGCCACACTGCTTGTTGAGAAGTTCTCACTGGAATTGTCATGTTGGATAGTTAATACCGCATTTCCAATCACTGATCCACGTTCAAAGCCAATCACGGTGCAAGTGACGTTGAGTAGCCCTTCGATTTCAGCTGCCGTCATGCTTTTGATGAGCTGATGTAGATTGAGAGGAAGAATGAGGTGAAGAAGATCAATAACTGATTGCTACATTTAAGTGGACATGTTAATCGGTGAAACTGTGACTTAGTGCCAGTGAATAGGAGATGTTGTGTCGTAGGCGTCAGGGGCACACCGAATCGTGTTGTGCAACTGTGATTCTAATAGCGACCAGAAACTTTGCTTTCCAGTGTGAACATACTACTGGCCGAAATATTCCATTTAAAGCCGTTGTTGAATACCCATCGAAGAACGAACATTCAAGTCAGTTTCATATATATATATATGTATATATATGTATATGTATTTATTTACTTATCTGTATACATGTATATTCATAGTTCATTGCGAATTCCTAATTCGAAACAATTCAACTTGGAGGAAACTTAAATCAAGCTGTGTTAATCGATTTGATAAACAACTTGAAAATGAATGATTCATTATAAATTATTTAAATTTATCCCAGCGTGTTAAGAAAATCAAAGCAAGATTTTTCTGAACGTTTCGCTGTGTAAGCAACAGCTTCTTCAGCAGATTTATTCGGATTTTTATTAATCATCAAAATATGTAGACTTATCACCTGTATGGCAAACTCTTATGAAGCAAGACAAATGAAAATATCAATCAGCACTCTTTGAGCCTCCATGACCTTTTAAAACATATAGGATCATGTTTATCATATATGAATTCACGTATTTTCCATATGACAAATAACATACATACACACACACACTCATATAAAACTAATCTATACAAATTAACTATACAAGAGTAAACACAACAACAACTTGACATTAGCCATGACAAATATATGTGATGACTGCTTACATATTTTCTATTGGTAAAAATGTCCATAGACAAATGACCTTCAAATAAGCGAACTTTAATGTATGTAAAAAATTTTGACCATATATTTTACGAGTTGATCACGAACTGATATCAGTTAGAGAACCATTGAAAACCAGGGAGTACTGGACAGCTGCTGTTTCATCCTAGTTTCTGGGAATCATCGGCAGTACGCAGCCACTGGGATTCGAACCCAGGACCTTCCGGTTACAAGGCAGCTGTCCAGTACTCCCTGGTTTTCAATGGTTCTCTAACTGATATCAGTTCGTGATCAACTCGTAAAACATAACTAATCCTTACAAACCAAAGTATAGAAAACTATATATTTTGATGATTAATAAAAATCCGAATAATTCTGCTGAAGAAGCTGTGGCTAACACAGCGAAACGTTCAGAAAAATCTTGTTTTGATTTTCTTAACACGCTGGGATTAATTTAAATAATTTATACTGAATCAATCTGACTCGGCGCTCAAATTATTTCAGGAAGTTCGTAACACCTACGGCCTGGAAACCAAAAATCTTGAAAATGAATGATTCGCACGTAAATTTGATTGGAAAACTGAGAAGAATCTTACCAAATCACACACTTCTTTGGAGTATTCCTGATACAGGGCTGAAGTCGGATCCAGAAGACTGTCACTCCACTCCAATGACTTATTCGCTCTGGCCAACGGTGATGAGATCACTAGGAGAGAAGTGAATCATTGTGAGAGGTAGAATCACTTTCTTGTCATGAGTGAGTACAAATTATTAAGCTTCTATAAATAAAACAAACTGTCTTACTAAGGGTCAAAATTCACCTTGGAAGACATCGTTGACTCCAGCCTTTCTCACTTCCACTATCAAATTTCCCTATCTCACTGATGCCTCAGATGCCATGTATTATTATTATTCTATCCTTTAATTCCTAGAGGAACATAGGGCTTCAGCCGTGCGTCTCTGCTAGAGTCTTCACCTGGCTCCATGTCTGCCCACACGTTTTCATCTCCTCTTCACATGACCTCCTCCAAATCACTCTTGCACTGACGACCAACTCGCCGCTTCTCTTTCGGGTTCCACTCGAGCAATGGCTTGTCCAGTGATGTCACTTGACGGTTTGTTTTCTCAGAGTATGGCCAATCCATCTCTATTTCTTCCTGCCTATTAGTTGCACAGTCGGTTCCTTCTGGGTTGGTTCGCTCATTAACAGAGATCCCTGTTGCTGATCTCTTCTGGCTGGTCATCTGATCTTGAGTGGTATTGAGCGAAGACAACTGTTAATGAAGGTGTGTAGTTTGTTTGAGATGGTCTTTATGACGCGCAGTGCAAGTCTCTGATCCGTATAGTAGCACTGACTTCACATTGGAGTTGAAAATCTGGATCTTATTTTTGATGCTGAGTGCTGTTGACCTCCACACAGACTTGAGAGTAGTGAAAGCTTGTCTTGCTTTTCCGATTCTTGCTTTGATATCCTCGACAGTTCCGCCTGTAGTTGAAACGATGCTTCCCAGGTAGGCAAGAGAGGTTGTTTCCTTCAGGTTCCTTCCATTTATGCTGATTGTTGTCTGTTGTTGTTCTTGTCAAGGAATCTTCATCACCTCTGTTTTTTCTATGTTCACCTGAAGTCCTATCATCTCTGGATGTTTCTTCTGCTAACTTGTTGCTTTTCGCTTGCATATCTTCCAGTTTGTGGGAAATCAGACATATATCATCGGCGAAGTCCAGATCCTCCAAGTTTTTTGTGTGAGTCCATTTTATGCCTGTTTCCTCATTGCCCGATGTCTGTCGCATTATCCAGTCTACTGCAATCAGGTAAATCATTGGCGATAGTAGGCAGCCAGCTTGTCTTACTCCTGTCCTCACTTCGAAGGATTCCGTAAGTTTCCCGTTGTGGATTACTTGGCATGCAGCATTGTCGTACAGCTGTTGGATGAGATGTATAATTATCGGTGACACCCCGTAGTAGCGAAGTAGTTTCCAAATGACCTCTCGATCGACGCTGTCAAAGGCCATTTCAAAGTCGATGAAGTTGAGATAGAGAGGTGACTGCCATTCCAGGCTTTGTTCAATGATGATCCGTAATGTGGCGATCTGATCAATGTATGACTTGTTTCTCCTGAACCCAGCCTGTTCCGGTCGAAGTTTTTCATCCAGGGCATGTTTGATTCTCTCCAGGATGATGCGGCTTAGTATTTTGCTTGGGATGGACAGAGGCATAATTCCGCGCAGCCATATCCAGATGCCGTGTAGACTCGACCATTGTCTCACTACATAGTGACACGTTGGATTCCAAATAATTTCCCAAAATTCTGACATGCCAATCAACTGAGCACAGCATTGCAATACAAGTACCCAGGAACTGTCGAATCATCGAATCTATCTGAATGGTAGGTGAAAGATCCTCGGTGAAAGAAAGATCTCCAATGCAGTCACTCATCTCTTGCATAAGTAGACACATTTTTCGTATTTCCCTCAACACATCAAGACTCCATCATACAGCAATCAGGTGGCTTTCAGAGTACTTCGTATCCTCCAATATCTACAATTATGTAGGCGAACCTCACGAACGCCATCTAACGCCATCTCTCACAGATGGCTTTACACTTCTCAAAGTCACAAATTCGAGTAATCCAGTATGCACTGAATGTGGTTGGGGAAAGGCTGGCGCCTCGAAGATTGGTGAACTCGTCAACAATCTCCATGTCTACTTACCTCCAGCAACTAGCCAGACAACATTACAAATAAATGGCGTGATAATGTCTAATTATCAACTGTAATGCAAGGGAAATACACTCGCCCTCCGACTTACCCAAAGTAACCGTCTGCACAGTTGCACCTTGAACAACGTGTTCATCCAATCCGTGGAATAATTGCACAATGAAAGAGAAATAATTTTAAACATATTTATTACAGATAAATGAACAGAATTTCGGTAATCTTATAAATTCTGTATTGGCTAATATTAATAATTTGGCAATATGTAATCGAACGTTTTATTTCCTACCTCATTTTTTCAGGTTTTTTTCAATATTTCTCATACTCATGGTAACATATTACTGAATAAACTATACCTTAATCTGTATTCTAACTCATATTCTTGAACTTTACAGTGGGACCACTATTATATAATCAATAATGAATAATTTGTCCGTTATGCTGTAAAATTCCTTTCTTCAGTGGATTCTAGTGACAAGAACAGCTAATACTTCAAGACAGCTAGGTATATCTCTTGTTGTATTTGTGGAACACTTAAACTGATCTTTAAAACAAACTTTTTTAGTGAGAATTTAGAATATCTAATGGTTTCTAGCTGCTCTTCATACTTTTCGTTTAATCAAATCCAATTATATTAGTACCAAGCGATTTGACATTATCGTAAGCGTGGAATAAGGAAAATATGATATTTTTTGGCGATTTCATTTTTTAAAGCTGTACAATCGCATTTAAATACATAATTTTACATGGATACAATTCTTGTTTGATTCCACATAATTACGATGGTGAATAAAAACAGTTATTTTAAGTTTGTCTCCATGCTTTTCCTGCTCACATTTATAATTCGTTTAAAAATAACTATTTTACAGTTATATCTTAATCCTGTGCAATTTTTGTGTTTCTAAGGCTCTTGTAATCTATATATTCAAACCTCCTAACTTTCATTTCAAGTTGAAAATTATTATTTCAATTTTTGTTTCCATGCTCATTTTTACACACTTGTTATCCATTCTAATCCTGTGTAATTTTGTTTCTAAGCCTCTCGTAAATCATATCTAGTTGAAAATAATTGTCACCTTTTATTCACTGTCGTAATTATGCGGAATCAAACAAGAATTTTATCCATGTAAAAATTATCTATTCAAATGCAGTTGTACAGCTGCTTTTGAAAATGAAATCATCGAAAACATATCTTTGCTGAACTTCGTGTTCTCTTCTTTCTAATGTCCTTATAGGTGTTTTCCACGATCTGAAAATATGATTTCACTGTCTGTGTAACAGGAATCCAAATTTTATGATTATATATTTTCACAAGCTTTTACTAAATATCTTGTCAGTCTACGAAGACATTTTAGTATGGTTAAATGGCGAATAAAGAAAATAGTAGACAAAACACTGTACAACTTAATAGCCCATTAAAATATTGCACGTTTAATGACTTTTGAAATATCTTGAATTGCATATTTCTATTCACGTTTCTAGTCTTAATCTTAGGCCAAACGTTCTCAGTTTAAACAGGTTATAAATATACTTTTTATTCGCCCATCAACACAAGAAATTTGTAATCTAATTGAGTGATCAAGTTCAAGTGTTACTTATTCTTAAGTAAAATACACCTAACATGTATCTTCTATTCGTTACCAGGAGCTTTCGAGCATACCGCCTTATTTGTGCGCGATCTACATAAAATTCCTAACAGCGAGTAGGAATACTGTTCATGATTTTATTTGAACATATATTCATCAAAAGTAGCAGTTATAAACCATTTGAGAAATAGCATAGACCTCACTTTTCTTATGAATCAATATGATATGTGATAAAAAATCTAAGATATATTCCAAAACCTACTAAACAATAACAAGATATAGACAATAACAATAGCAAACTTCTAATTAATACATACAACTAATCTGATAAAATTAGTGTGTGTGTGTGTGTATAATGAGCTATTACAGGCCAACCAGAAAATGAAAATCTCTCGGCTATTGCTTAAATCAACAAATACATAAATTCCATGAAACACAATGGTGAAAAATAAAAATTTTTGTATAAACTAATAAAAGAATATACGAAAAACCGAACAGATTGATAGCCACACACTATTACTACCAAAATTAAAGTAAAAACCATAACGGAGGCTAATGAAAACTAAACCAAAATAGACAAATAAAAAACTTAAATGACAAAGAGAAACTTCAGAAGATCATTGATATTTTTAAAAAGTTGAAATATTTAATCAGGATAACTGGCAACAAAGAAATTGAAAACTAGAAGCACTAGGAAAAATGAAACCATATCAAACGTCTAGTACGGATATAAAAAGCAAAACAACCTCAGGAATATTTGACTCACCAGATTGACTAGAATCCACAGTTGAAGATATGGAAGGCGATAAAGAAGACGCAGACGAAAGCGAGGACATTAGAGGTGTAGACAAAGTGGACAAACTCGAACCAGATGGATATCCAGCAGAAAATGCAGGTGTTATAGACGAAGAGACTGAGGTATTGAAAACATCTAAAGAAACAAAACTAAAAGAATCCGAAGAAGAAGCGTAATCCGAAGGCGACGAAGTGAGAGAAAATGACGGAGATGAAGAAAGAGTTGAAGAACTAACATACAGAGAATCATTAGGGAAAATTGAAGTAGAAAACAATGAAAAATAATCTTGATCATACGTGGAAAGAGTGCGAATGTGAGTTGTGTCCTGTGACGAATAGCTGTCTGGTGTGTCTGAGCTGACGGAAGTTGTTGTTTCCGGTGTCCATGTGGCTTCGCTTGTGGTTTCGCTTGTGGTTTCGCTTGTGGTTGTGGTTGTGGTTGTCGAGGTGATGTCTGTTGGTGCATAGGATGTGTCGGTTGTTGGTGTGGAGATGATGACAGTGGTCAGTGGTGTGTTCGTCGTTCTGTCGTCACTTGTCACAGTGGATGTCGACAGTTCTGAGGTGTGGGAGGCAGTGGTAGTTGTCGTTGTTTCGATCGTGGTGATGGTGGATGTGACGGCGATATCGGATTGGTCAGTGTCAGTGTGGGTGTCGGTGTGAGTGTCGGCGGTGGTTTGTTGATCGGTGGTTGTGGTTGTGGTTGTGGTTTCGGTGGTGGTGGTGATGGTGGTGGTGGTGTTGGCGGCGTGAGCATCTGTGATATCAGTGGACGCGGGAGTCGCGATGTCGCTGGCGGTGATGATCGTGGTGGTTGTTTCCGTGGTGCTATGAGATGAGTCTGTGTGCGATGTGTCGGTTGTGTCGGTTGCACTGACAGTCACACTGGGAGTGGCCGACTCAGACTGAGCAGTGTCTGTCGTCGTGGTGGCGGCGATGTGGGAGGTCGACTGTGTGTGGATGAGCTGGTCAGTGGTGCTGGCAGATTGAGTGTCTGTCACTGCAGTGTCGGTGGCGAGTGAAGTCGGCGAGCTGGTTGTCGACATGTCTGTGCTCGAGGCTATTGTGGATTGTGAGGTGGGAATGTGAGTTGTGTCCTGTGACGAATAGCTGTCTGGTGTGTCTGAGCTGACGGAAGTTGTTGTTTCCGGTGTCCATGTGGCTTCGCTTGTGGTTTCGCTTGTGGTTTCGCTAGTGGTTGTGGTTGTGGTTGTGGTTGTGTTTGTGGTTGTGGTTGTGGTTGTCGAGGTGATGTCTGTTGGTGCATAGGATGTGTCGGTTGTTGGTGTGGAGATGATGACAGTGGTCAGTGGTGTGTTCGTCGTTCTGTCGTCACTTGTCACAGTGGATGTCGACAGTTCTGAGGTGTCGGAGGCAGTGGTAGTTGTCGTTGTGTCGATCGTGGTGATGGTGGATGTGACGGCGATATCGGATTGGTCAGTGTCAGTGTGGGTGTCGGTGTGAGTGTCGGCGGTGGTTTGTTGATCGGTGGTTGTGGTTGTGGTTGTGGTTGTGGTTTCGGTGGTGGTGGTGATGGTGGTGGTGGTGTTGGCGGCGTGAGCATCTGTGATATCAGTGGACGCGGGAGTCGCGATGTCGCTGGCGGTGATGATCGTGGTGGTTGTTTCCGTGGTGCTATGAGATGAGTCTGTGTGCGATGTGTCGGTTGTGTCGGTTGCACTGACAGTCACACTGGGAGTGGCCGACTCAGACTGAGCAGTGTCTGTCGTCGTGGTGGCGGCGATGTGGGAGGTCGACTGTGTGTGGATGAGCTGGTCAGTGGTGCTGGCAGATTGAGTGTCTGTCACTGCAGTGTCGGTGGCGAGTGAAGTCGGCGAGCTGGTTGTCGACATGTCTGTGCTCGAGGCTATTGTGGATTGTGAGGTGGGAATGTGAGTTGTGTCCTGTGACGAATAGCTGTCTGGTGTGTCTGAGCTGACGGAAGTTGTTGTTTCCGGTGTCCATGTGGCTTCGCTTGTGGTTTCGCTTGTGGTTTCGCTAGTGGTTGTGGTTGTGGTTGTGGTTGTGTTTGTGGTTGTGGTTGTGGTTGTCGAGGTGATGTCTGTTGGTGCATAGGATGTGTCGGTTGTTGGTGTGGAGATGATGACAGTGGTCAGTGGTGTGTTCGTCGTTCTGTCGTCACTTGTCACAGTGGATGTCGACAGTTCTGAGGTGTCGGAGGCAGTGGTAGTTGTCGTTGTGTCGATCGTGGTGATGGTGGATGTGACGGCGATATCGGATTGGTCAGTGTCAGTGTGGGTGTCGGTGTGAGTGTCGGCGGTGGTTTGTTGATCGGTGGTTGTGGTTGTGGTTGTGGTTGTGGTTTCGGTGGTGGTGGTGATGGTGGTGGTGGTGTTGGCGGCGTGAGCATCTGTGATATCAGTGGACGCGGGAGTCGCGATGTCGCTGGCGGTGATGATCGTGGTGGTTGTTTCCGTGGTGCTATGAGATGAGTCTGTGTGCGATGTGTCGGTTGTGTCGGTTGCACTGACAGTCACACTGGGAGTGGCCGACTCAGACTGAGCAGTGTCTGTCGTCGTGGTGGCGGCGATGTGGGAGGTCGACTGTGTGTGGATGAGCTGGTCAGTGGTGCTGGCAGATTGAGTGTCTGTCACTGCAGTGTCGGTGGCGAGTGAAGTCGGCGAGCTGGTTGTCGACATGTCTGTGCTCGAGGCTATTGTGGATTGTGAGGTGGGAATGTGAGTTGTGTCCTGTGACGGATAGCTGTCTGGTGTGTCTG